CAACTATACTACGACTATACTAATACCACTATTACTCTACTACTACTACTACTACTACTACTACTACTACTACTACTACTACTACTACTACTACTACTACTACTACTACTACTACTACTACTACTACTACTACTACTACTACTACTACTATACTACTACTATATTACAACTATACTACAACTATACTACTACGATACTACTACTACTACTACTACTACTACTACTACTACTACTACTACTACTACTACTACTACTACTACTACTACTACTACTACTACTACTACAACTACTGCTACTACTGCTACTGCTACTACTACTACTACTACTACTACTACTACTACTCTACTACTACTACTCTGCTACTACTACTTTTCTACTACTAATACTACTACTACTAATAATAATAATAATAATAATAATAATAATAATAGAATAATAATAATAATAATAGTAATAATAATAGAATAATAATAATAATAATAATAATAATAATGCTACTAAAACTATTACAAACATACAAAAAATAATCTTGTCCTCTCCTATTACCATAAGTACTACTGCTGTTGCTACAACTACAACTTCATATTTGCAGACCACTGTACAGTCTATACAAGTGCTCAAACGTGTGATATTCTAGAGTCATCTTTACAACGGGAATTAAACAATGTGGTTTCCTGGAGCTATGCGAACCGAATGCAAATAAACTTCAGTAAGACGAAATGTATGTCAGTATCAACAAAACAACAAGTTATATTCTTTATCTGCACAGAATACTCTTCAACTCTACATCAGTCACAACCCAGCAGCATGTGTGATTGAGCACAAAGCTTTAGACGTAATTATTGATAGCAATGTAACCTTCACTTCTCATGTGCAAGCTCTAGTCTGACAAACAGCTAAATAAAAGTTTACCAGCTTGCAAAAATTAAACACTTTCTGGATGAAAACACCATAAGGATATTCTATACCTCCCATATTCAGACCCATCTAGACTACTGCTCCACAGTATGGGATGGCTGTCCAAGTTCAGTCATGAAACGGCTTAAAGCACTTCAAAAAAGAGCTGTACGATTAGTAATAACCACGGAAGAGACAGCTTCAGTATACATACATACAGATCTTGAGTTACTACCCTTCCGTAAACGAATACTTTTAAATAAGGCCAAAGTTATTCATAAAATCTTATACAACAATGCTCCACATTATCTTTGATCATTTATTAAGTTTAATGGGCGACAGAGCAAACGCCTAAACATATGACACATCCCCAATCCTAGAATAGACTTGTACAAAACAGGTCTCTGCGTACTCTGCAGCTCATCTGTGGAACCAACTTCCACAACCAATCAAAATTATCAACAACCCCTATCAATACAGTTGGAAGCTTTTTTGAATATTATCTGACTACAGACTATTTGCACCCTTAAAAGGTAATAGTCTTTTTAGAATACTGTTGATTTCTACAGAGATTTATTTTGTTTAGTATTATAATTGTTTTCAAATGTGGGCATTCTTAGAGCACATTGTTACAAAGATGTTGTTGATGATGTCTGTTATTTTTACTATTCTCATTCTTATCTGCTAAAACCATAGGTGTATGAATAATGTATGCACGGAGTGAGGCCAGAAGGGCAGAATGTAAGACGGAACTGTGTGCCCACTTCTGAACCCTTTATAAATAAAGTGTGTTTGTTCTTTCGTTTGTTCGTTCAATTTCTGGCTTTCATCTTCCGGGATAGAGCACAGGATGTCACCAGTCTGGAGGCAAGCTTCTTGGTAAACTCCCGTCTCCTTCAGTTGTGCAGTTACAATCGTGTACCGGAAGTCCTGGCCATCATACTCTAGTAGCCTTCTACGACACGTGTAGTATGCTGCAGGTCTCTGTGTGTGCGATGGCGTGTGCCCGTGTGTTTGAGAGTTATTCGGTGAGACAGGTGTAGATCAAATCAACAGCCTAATGAGTCTGATGGAAACACCTGGAAAATATTACCTGCTGTCAACGCTAGAAAGCTGGAGCATCTCCATCTTACCTGAAAAGATATCAAGCAAAACTAAAAGTACACACCGTTAACTTCACCTTTTCACAAATACAAACGACCGGTTAACGTTTCGGGTGGAAAGCCTTTATCAGCACATTACATGAATATACGTTACGAACGCGCTTTGTAATGCCGGGGTGCCGGGTTCGATCCCAGCTGCGGACCTTGCGCCTTGCTTTGGTTTCGACAGTGGTATCAAGAAGCTGACTGTCCAGAAAGCAATGGCGAACTACTGGACGTGAACTTGTCTAGAAAAACTACAACAGCCAAAAAAATGCTGGGGTTGGTTCTGCAACGTCCTGCAAAGGATACGCAACTTACTAACATAAATATACACAAAATACTAAAACACGAACAAGAACACGCAAAAAAATGTAAATTATCCCCGTGTGGGTTCCGGGGCCCTGTTAAAGGGAAAACAAAAATAGACCAACTGCCTACCCAAAAGCATGTCGTAAGAGTCGACTAATTGGGAGCTTCCTTCAAGGTTGGAGTGAATCTGCCTGAGAGGCTAGGAACCAGCAGTCTGCATACAAATGAGTCAGATCTGTGAAACGGATGCACACGCACCACTCAGGTTCTGGAACAGGACTGCAGTCCAAAAGAGGATGAACAACCAAAACTTTTCGCCAGAGTTTACAGCTGGTGAACACGAAGAAGAAGAAAACGAATTTAAATGAAATCACATATCTTATCTCCGTCCCTATATGGGAGGCAATTTGTTTGTTATCTAAAGCGCCACCTGTGCCGTTGTTGGTGACCCTAATTTAACCTAACGGTTGAATGGGGTCTCCGGGACTTGTGCATAGGGGATTCTCGTCCGAATGTTGGCACTTTGCGTCCCGGTACGTCCTGGTGAGGGGTTGGACGTCACTGACCCACAAATCTGTCTGGCCAGTTGGATTTCTGACACGTGGCGTAGCCATAAATAAAAGGCATTTGGGAAGTTTGGATGTACGGCCGATTATGCGGCCGGAATTTTCACCAATACCCTCACATCATTCGCCTGCGGATCGGAAGGTCGTGGGTTCGGTTACTGGGTGAGGCCGGACTTTGGTCAGAAATGACTTTGGCTCCCAGGTCTATACAGCCTTTATTGAGTACCAGGTTCTGTCCTGGGAAGTAAAGGCGGTCGGTGTGATGCTGACCACATCCCCCAGCAAGTGCCGATTGGTCTATAAAATAGACTATGTAGTATGCACCTGACGAGATACCACGAAATATGCCAGGCAATAAATTGTGCAAAGTATTGTTTGTGTCTTCTTTGTTCACATTTACAACGAGGAAACATTGCTTTGACTTGATAAAATATATGTCTAGCCCTGTTTATCCTATTCGGCCTACAGTCGTGAAAAAGGATTATTCACTTTTTTTTAACCTCAATTATTAGCTTTCCCTGTGTGGTATCTGGGTCATCATTGTTGGTCGGTAAAGCGGGGGGGGGGGGGGGGGGGGGGTAGAACCAATGCCAGCTAACACGCGATCGTCAAAGTCCACTAACTCGGGGAGTTTTCTATAAAAATGCACTGCTTCTGACTGAGAGGCAATGAACCAACAGTCTGCACACAAATAACCAGATACATAAACAAAACTCAGTTTTCCCCGGCACAGCCACAAGTACACTCAGTTTTCCCCGGCACAGCCACAACAAGGCTCAGTTTTTACCAGCCCCGCCACAAGTACACTCAGTTTTCACCAGCACCGCCACAAATACACTCAGTTTTCACCAGCACCGCCACAAGTACACTCAGTTTTCACCAGCACCGCCACAAGTACACTCAGTTTTCACCAGCACCGCCACCAGTACACTCAGTTTTCACCAGCACCGCCACAAGTACACTCAGTTTTCACCAGCACCGCCACAAGTACACTCAGTTTTTACCAGCACCACCACAAGTACACTCAGTTTTCACCAGCACCGCCACAAGCACACTCAATTTTCACCAGTACCGCCACAAGTACACTCAGTTTTCAATTTGAAGCTAAATAAATCTTTCTGTCCCAAACAACGTGTGGTGTGTGACTGGCACTGTTGTGAATTCCACACAACATGTAATATATTCTAGTTCTTTCCAAATTTAGTTGCAGCATGCCAAGAAATCTGCCTCGTCAGTATTAAACCTCTCTGAAAGCAATACATTTGTGCTTTTTTCTGTCGGTTATTTATCACATCTGCATCTCTAGTAAACCCTTCTGGTGCTCAAGGAGTTAAACAAGATCTAGCTTCCCTAGCCCTCCTGTTCCTCCCCTTTTTAAGGGCTGTCACTGTTGTTCTGTTCGCCGTTTGCGCTCGCGCCGACGTAGCTCTTGTGTGTGAGAAATGCTAAAAGAACCTGCTCGGGTGACAACGATCATATCGAGATGTAGGTACTTGTTGTAGCCCAGTAAGTCAATAGAGACGCTGGCAAAACAAACAGGGTTTCTAACAGTGGTACACAGGTACTGGTTCCTGGCGACTGAGTGTACAGCCATGGATTCGTTTTTCTTCTTCCTCTCCTTCTTCTTTTTTCTCTTCCTTTTTTTCTAATATTATTATTATTATTATTATTATTATTATTATTATTATTATTATTATTATTATTATCATGGTCACCATCATCACCAACCTCCTATTTCTACTACTACTACTCGACCACTCCTAAGAAAGAAAGAAAGAAAGAAAGCAAGTAAGAAAACTTCGATAGAAAGAAAGAAAGAAAGAAAGAAAGAAAGAAAGAAAGAAAGAAAGAAAGAAAGAAAGAAAGAAAGAAAGAAAGAAAGAAAGAAAGAAAGAAAGAAAGAAAGAAAGAAAGAAAGAAAGACAGAAAGACAGAAAGACAGACGGAAAGACAGACGGAAACAAACAAACAAACAGAGAATCGTTTAATGCAATAGTTTAAATACCTGCTCATTAATAAACAAATCGCCCCCAAAAAATCTTGCCTTTAACCTTTAACCTTATCCCCAGGAAGCGGAAGCGGGATGTCAGAGTGCATGAACCGTACAGGCCCGGGCGATCACAATCCAGCAGAGGAAACTGACAGCGTCATTAACCAATGGCTAATTCCTGGCACCTGTGCCTTTGGTGTCGTTGGCAACCTCCTCAATTTAGCGATATTAAAAAGGTCGGTATGTGTTCCCTGTTTATGTGTACATTAATTATTTATGTACTCATTCCGTGGTGGTCACTAGAGGTTCTTTTGCACCGCTGCTGAAACCTGGGTAGAAAAAAAAAAGGAGAAACTATCACATAGATGACAAGTAAGGGGAAACTACCATATAGCTGGAAAGTAAGGGGAAACTACCACATAGCTGGAAAGTAAGGGGAACTACTACATGGCGGGAAAGTAAGGGGAAACTACTACATAGCTGAAAAGTAAGGGGAAACTACCACACAGCTGATAAGTAAGGGGAAACTACCACATAGCTGAAAAGTAAGTGGAAACTACCATATAGCTGAAAAAATAAGGAGAAACTACCACATAGCTGAAAAGTAAGTGGAAACTACCACATAGCTGAAAAAATAAGGAGAAACTACCACATAGCTGAAAAGTAATGGAAAACTACCACATAGCTGGAAAGTAAAGGGAAACTACCATATAGCTGAAAAGTAAGGGATAGCTACTACATAGCTGGAAAGTAAGAGAAAACTACCACATAGCTGGAAAGTAAGGGGAAACTACCACATAGCTGAAAAGTAAGGGGAAACTACCATATAGCTGGAAAGTAAGGGGAAACTACCATATAGATGAAAAGTAAGGGGAAACTACCACATAGCTTGAAAGTAAGGGGAAACTACCACATAGCTGAAAAGTAAGTGGAAACTACTACATAGCTGGAAGTTAAGGGTAAACTACCATATAGCTGTAAAGTAAGGAGAAACTACCACATAGCTGGAAAGTAAGGGAAAACTACCACATAGCTGGAAAGTAAGGGGAAACTACCACATAGCTGGAAAGCATGGGAAAACTGCCTCATTATCAGAAAGTATACACATAGTAACTACCAAAAGAACACACTATGGCAACCTTCAGTGTGAGATGTGAAAACAGGCGAGGTACTGAGGGTCTCGCCAGTGGCACTGAATGAGAGCGACGTTCTGCAGAAAGTCTGCTTCCCGATAATTATGAGTTTTGTGCCTCGGAATATAAATACTTAATCTTTGGGGTGTGATTTCTTTTTTAACCAAACTGTTTACCCAAATATTTGTCTATCTGAATGTCTGTCTAGGTATTTATCTAGATGGTATATCTGTCTATTTAACGGTCTTATGGGTTAGTATGACTGTCCATGTATCTATATAAGAACTTTTACATATAACGTCTCCTATACTCCTCAGGAGACAATTACAAAAATCCTTCAGAACGCTGGAACAGGGAGCCAACTTCTGCCTGGTCTCCCTCGCCCTCTCGGATCTCATGTTCTGCCTCTTTGCCCTCCTGACCATGCTGCTGCCCGCAGACAACATCTACAGTCACTCAGGCTTGTCCTTGACCTACGGAGTCTACAACGTTGCCATCATCAACGTCTTCATCATGGAGAGCACGCTGCTGACCGTCGCCATGTCCCTGGAGCGATACCTGGCCATCTGTTTCCCCCTGAGGTTGGATATCTACCTTACGACCAGTCGGATTAAGTTTGTAGTGCTGTTCACTTTCATATTTTCCGTGTGTTTTAACATCCCAGTGCTGTGGAGAAAGGAAGATGTGCTGCTCTGTGTCGATCTTCTCGAGGACCAAGTCTTGAATTCCAGCCGTCTTGCAGGTTTCAGCAACCTCACCAATCATAACATTACTTTTGGAAACGCTACGCAGGATATTACCTTTAACATGTTACAAGCTGTTTCCATTCCAAATTCAACAACTTTACTGGAAAATAATTCCTTATCATCGTCCTTGTCGTCGCTTTCGTCTGCAGATATGATTTACACAACATCAACCATATCGTCGTCGTATGTATCTACACACATCTCTACAGACTTATCATCTTCATCGAAGACTAATTTGATGAAAACGCTGGGCAAACCCCGATACACCGTCAGGACAGTGCTGCTACTCGACAGTTATGTTTACGACATTGCCTACCGGATTCTGTGGGCGTTCTGTGGGAACATCATCCCCCTGGTTCTTCTCTTCTACTTCAACGTCTGCCTTTGCCGCCAAATCTTCTATTCCTACAAACAGCAAAAGCATCTTGGACGCCAAAACAAGACCAGAAATTCATCCAACAGTTTGACCCTTACCCTGGTGGCGATTGTTGCTTTGTTCTTTATCCTAGTGGCGCCTTCAGAGATAACTCTGCTGGTCCTTCACATATCTAACAGTGGGTCTAATTCCACACCAAAGATTATAGAACCAGTTCTGAACTGGATGCAGTCAATCAACTTCTCAGTTAACTTCATTCTCTACTGTATTATCAACCCTTTCTTCAGGAAAACTTTAAAACATATGATACTTTGTGGTTGCTGCTGGCTGCCCAGGAATAAACGAGAATGGAAGATAAAACTGCAGACTTCTTTCATGTAACATCATCGGCGAATATTTTTGCAGGATGTTCTTGTATGTCCGTAATAGTGGCATTTGAGCAGTGTAATAATTGACATAATTCTTTTAGTTAAGACATTTTTTTTTAAAGCAGTGTATTATTCTAATGTTATAAATGTATCTCAGTGATGATTTCATTTGACCGCGTGTTTATGTGTATTTATATATGCATAAATATATGTGCGTATGTGCGTGCCTGTATGTCTATTTATCTCTCGTCTCTCTGTCTTCATTTATATATGTATGTGTGTGTCTGGTGCATTTGTTAGTATACATGTCTCTCTGTCTAATAATGTGTGTGTGCAAGTGTATTTCTGTATGTGTATGTGTGAGTTTTGTTTGTCAGAGTGACCATCTGTCTTTCTAACTGTATGACTGTGTCTATCTGTGGGTTGGTGGTGTACCTCTGTGAGTGTGTGTGTGTGTGTGTGTGTGATTTGTGTCATCATCAATGACCAGGTCCATTACGGAACGTCGCTCTCACCACGACATGCCTAAAACTCTCTCTCTCTATCTCTCTCTTTATCTAGCCAATTCTCCAGCCCTATGTGCTTTCATGGCCAGTGCATCTTTAATGTGTTGTATCTACCACCTTCGGGGAGGTCTCCCCTGCCTCGCATTGTGGAAACTATACCCTCCACCACGGCTCTCTCCAGACCACTAGAAAACTATACCCTCCACCACGGCTCTCTCGAGACCACAAGAAAACTATACCCTCCACGACGGTTCTATCCAGACCACCAGGAAACTATACCCTCCACCACGGTTCTCTCCAGACCACCAGGAAACTATACCCTCCACCACGGCTCTCTCCAGACCACCAGAAAACTATACCCTCCACCACGGCTCTCTCGAGACCACAAGAAAACTATACCCTCCACGACGGTTCTATCCAGACCACCAGGAAACTATACCCTCCACCACGGTTCTCTCCAGACCACCAGGAAACTATACTCTCCACCACGGTTCTCTCCAGACCACCAGGAAACTATACCCTCCATCTCTCCAGGCCACCAGGAAACTTTACCCTCCATCTCTCCAGACCACCAGGAAACTTTACCCTCCCTATCTCCAGACCACCAGGAAACTATACCCTCCATCTCTCCAGGCCACCAGGAAACTATACCCTCCATCTCTCCAGGCCACCAGGAAACTTTACCCTCCATCTCTCCAGACTACCAGGAAACTTTACCCTCCATCTCTCCAGACTACCAGGAAACTATACCCTCCATCTCTCCAGACTACCAGGAAACTATACCCTCCATCTCTCCAGACTACCAGGAAACTATACCCTCCATCTCTCCAGACTACCAGGAAACTATACCCTCCATCTCTCCAGGCCACCAGGAAACTATACCCTCCATCTCTCCAGGCCACCAGGAAACTTTACCCTCCATCTCTCCAGACCACCAGGAAACTTTACCCTCCATCTCTCCAGACTACCAGGAAACTATACCCTCCCTCTCTCCAGACTACCAGGAAACTATACCCTCCCTCTCTCCAGACTACCAGGAAACTATACCCTCCATCTCTCCAGACTACCAGGAAACTATACCCTCCCTCTCTCCAGACTACCAGGAAACTTTACCCTCCATCTCTCCAGACTACCAGGAAACTTTACCCTCCCTCTCTCCAGACTACCAGGAAACTATACCCTCCCTCTCTCCAGACTACCAGGAAACTATACCCTCCCTCTCTCCAGACTACCAGGAAACTATACCCTCCATCTCTCCAGACTACCAGGAAACTATACCCTCCATCTCTCCAGACTACCAGGAAACTATACCCTCAATCTCTCCAGACCACCAGAAAACTTTACCCTCCATCTCTCCAGACTACCAGGAAACTATACCCTCCATCTCTCCAGGCCACCATGAAACTTTACCCTCCATCTCTCCAGACTACCAGGAAACTATACCCTCCATCTCTCCAGACTACCAGGAAACTTTACCCTCCATCTCTCCAGACTACCAGGAAACTATACCCTCCATCTCTCCAGACTACCAGGAAACTTTACCCTCCATCTCTCCAGACTACCAGGAAACTATACCCTCCATCTCTCCAGACCACCAGGAAACTATACCCTCCATCTCTCCAGGCCACCAGGAAACTTTACCCTCCATCTCTCCAGACTACCAGGAAACTATACCCTCCATCTCTCCAGACCACCAGGAAACTTTACCCTCCCTATCTCCAGACTACCAGGAAACTATACCCTCCATCTCTCCAGACCACCAGGAAACTATACCCTCCATCTCTCCAGACTACCAGGAAACTATACCCTCCATCTCTCCAGACTACCAGGAAACTATACCCTCAATCTCTCCAGACTACCAGGAAACTTTACCCTCCATCTCTCCAGACTACCAGGAAACTATACCCTCCATCTCTCCAGACCACCAGGAAACTATACCCTCAATCTCTCCAGACTACCAGGAAACTTTACCCTCCATCTCTCCAGACCACCAGGAAACTATACCCTCAATCTCTCCAGACTACCAGGAAACTATACCCTCAATCTCTCCAGACTACCAGGAAACTTTACCCTCCATCTCTCCAGACTACCAGGAAACTATACCCTCAATCTCTCCAGACTACCAGGAAACTTTACCCTCCATCTCTCCAGGCAACCAGGAAACTATACCCTCCATCTCTCCAGACTACCAGGAAACTATACCCTCCATCTTTTCAGGCCACCAGGAAACTTTACCCTCCATCTCTCCAGACTACCAGGAAACTATACCCTCCATCTCTCCAGACTACCAGGAAACTATACCCTCAATCTCTCCAGGCCACCAGGAAACTTTACCCTCCATCTCTCCGGACTACCAGGAAACTATACCCTCCATCTCTCCAGACTACCAGGAAACCATACCCTCCATCTCTCCAGGCCACTAGGAAACTATACCCTCCATCTCTCCAGGCCACCAGGAAACTATACCCTCCATCTCTCCAGGCCACCAGGAAACTTTACCCTCCATCTCTCCAGACTACAAGGAAACTATACCCTCCATCTCTCCAGGCCACCAGGAAACTATACCCTCCACCTCTCCAGGCCACCAGGAAACTATACCCTCCATCTCTCCAGGCCACCAGGACATTTAACGTGGCCAAAACACCCCAGCCTTCCGTTACAGGATGCTGTTATAGGGTCAGTTCTCAGATCATGTAGGATTGTTGGAAAGCTAGCAGGCAGATAGACTGGTCGGTTCTGCACCATTTGTTGGTGAACTGATGTATGACGTGCTAATTGTTGTAAGGGCATCTGTGAGCGAGTGAACAGTGCGGAGGCACAAATAGATCATCATGGTCTGAGTACAATGGCGCTGCAAGGAGTTACCAGGGGATCTGATCGACGCCCAACACTCAGGAGAAGGGCGAGACGGATGTACAGTCAGACAGGTACTAGTTCTATCGGAACTGGCACTCTCCGCTTGCTGCTGAAGATGGGGAAGGAGCGCTTACGGGAATGTCCCGAGGGCTATGATATCGATTCTTAATTAAACACTTAAGATCAAAGATGATATCGATTACTCTCCATGTTGAAACAGGTGCACTGGAGCGTGGAATTTGACAAACAATGTCCTTTTTTTCTGTAATCTTTAGAACAGGTTAGGGCAATGCAGTCCCCAACTGAAGGTTTGGAACAGCGGTTCTAGACCTTCCTAGTGCCGCGATCCTTTAATACAGTTCCCTCTTGTTGTAGCGACCCTCTAATACAGTTCCCTCATGTTGTGGCGACCCTTTATTACACTTTCCTCATGTTGTAGCGACCCTTGAATACAGTTCCCTCATGTTGTAGCGACCCTTTAATACAGTTCCCTCATGTTGTGGCGACCCTTTAATACAGTTTCCCTATGTTGTGGCGACCCTTTAAAAAGGGTCGCGACCGGCAGGTGGAGAACCGCTGGTTTAGAACAACACGAACAGTGCAGTCGATAGAAAGAGTTTAATTTGCGGTGTTGTTGCCTCCAAAACCCTCCCCCCGCCTCCTACCACCGCCCCTTTCCCCAATGGAAAAATCGTCTAATTGAAACCCTTAGACAAACGTTGTTGGGTTCCATCGACGATATCAAGAGTATTGCACACGATAAAACACAATAGAGCACGAACCAGCCCAAAATAATGTATTTTCAAAGGGTTAAGAATTATGAACGCCAGCACGTCTAAACATTCCGCCCTTCTTGTCTGCCTCCTTTATTTCAGACATCATTTCATTCATGCATCACGTAACGGTAAACATTATCATTTTTTTTTTAATAGTTGCGTATTCTTTGCAGGACGTTGCAGAACCAACCCCAGCACTTTCTGGCTGCTGCTGTGGCTTTTCTAAGCAAATTTAATCCAGTAGTTTGCCATTGCCCCTGGACGGTCGGCTCTCGGTACCACGGTCGAAACCATGGCAAGACAAACCGTCCGCAGCAGGAATCGAACCCGGCACCCCGACATTACGAAGCTCGTTCGCAATCCCTAAGCCACAGACGCTGACACATTATCAGCAGCAGCCAAATAATAATATAAGTACTGGAATGTGCACATTTATAACAGCAGTAAACGGTATTGATTGTCATATATCTATGGGGAAATATGTGCTTTTTCTAATATACTTTTATTTTTTACGGGGGCCTGTAATCTGTGCTCAGATAATATTCGAACAGTTTCCGACTGTTAGTATAGGGACTAGTTTATTTTGATTTGTTGTGGAAGATAGTTCCATAACTGAGCTGCTGAACTTGTTTTGTATAGGTCTATTCCAGGTTTAGGGATGGCTAATATGTTTTAAGCATTTGTCAGACTTTCCTTTATATTTAATCAACGGTCATATGTAACTAGACGGCTAGCCCTGTATGGCAATAACTATGTAACTGTTGTTGGTGATGATGATTGGAAAATCAAACTTCTATCACCTTGCTTCGAGTCCAGCCAGGATCTCTCCTATGTGATCCAAGCGATATGAACCGTTTGCTCAGCATAAACT